TGCAGGAAGAGACTGGACAAAAATCGTGCACCTATGGATGAGGACAGTGGGTGGGGAGTGAGGGCGGAGGGTGGGGTGGGAACTGGGAGGAGGGAAGTTATGGGGGGAAAAAAGAGGAATAAATGTAATAATCTGAACAATAAAGATTTAATTTAAAAAAAAAAAGAAACTTTACTAAAAAATATTGTCTGTTATTCAGGGATCAGCCAGGTGCTCAATAGCTACTGCCTACAAAGAGTTTAGATGTCAAAGAAGCTTAAATTCATATACTGCTCCCACACAACGGAACAGCTACCAGCAATATTCTTGTGTGTATATGTATATGAATTTTACTTAGCTTTTCGTTTTTTTGCCTGTGTTAATTCACTAAGGGCCTGTCTTAATTCAGTGCTTCATAGCAAGTTATCTTTCTTCTGGAGATACGTGTAATTTGGAATTGTCTAATGTTTGCTATTAGTGGGTAAAATGCAAGTAATTTAAATTTTAATCATTGTAAAAAAACATTTGAAATAACAGTCAGTGTGCCATATATGATATATATACATATCTACTAGAGGCCCAGTGCACGGAATTCGTGCACTGGGAAGGGGGTGTCCCTCAGCCCAGCCTGCACCCTCTCCAATCTGGGACCCCTTGGGGGATGTCTGACTGCTAGTTTAGGCCTGCGGGATCGGGCCTAAACCAGCAGTCGGACATTCCTCTTACAGTCCAGGACTGCTGGGTCCCAACTGCTTGCCTGCCTGCCTGCCTGATTGACCCTAACCCCTTCTGCCTGCCAGCCTGATCACCCTTTAACCATTCCCCTGCCAGCCTGATCAATGCCTAACTGCTCCCCTGCTGGCCCTATTGCCCCCAACTGCCCTCCCCCCACAACTGCTCTCCCCTGCAGCCAGTTGCCCCCAAACTGCCCTCCCCTGCTGGCCTGATTGCCCACAAATGCCTGCCCCTGCTGGCCATCTTGTGGCTGTGGGTCCTGCCATCTTTGTGGGCGTTGCAGTCAATTAGCATAATCCCTCCTTATTGGCTGTGGGCACCACCATCTATGAGGGTGGGGCAGTCAATTAGCATATTCCCTCCTTATTGGCTGTGGGCATCACCATCTTTGAGACAGCATGAGGATCAATTAGCATATTCCCTCTTTATTAGATAGGATTCTAGTCTCTATCTCTCTTGATATTAACATCTCTATCTGCCAGATTTTTACCTGGGATACATGATAGGAAGCCATACATGCCCATAATCATATGCAAATGTATGTATTTGTGTGAAGTGTCACCTCATTGAACAACTCTTTGGGGTCAGAGTGTTCCTTACACTCTGACATGAATACCAAC